AAACAAAAAAGCACATATTTAAACTAATTTACTTTAAGAGCACATTTACATCATATGGATATAGTAAAGAAAGATTTTATTTTATATTTGTTTGAATATTAATTTTGATTATTTTTATTTAGGCTCATCGTGAGTAGTTTTAGTTTTTCGAAAAATAAAATCAAATGAATATTTCAATAGGTGATCTGAAACCTGCAAATTTCCTCTTTACAAATACTTCTGATGATGCTTTACTTAAATTAACAGATTTTGGATTTGCTAAAGAAGGTAAAATAATAAAAAGAAAAGAATTATCATGAATTTTATTTATTATTTTTTTGTTTTTTTATGGTATAGGAAATAATGAAAAATTTCCATTGATTACACCATGGTAAGATAAGAAAAATATTCTTTTGCATTTAAGCAGAGATAAACAAGAACTTTGTGACTTCAGATGTTTTATATAAGACAAAAAGAATTTTCAATTTAAGCATTTTATCTAGTAAAACTTGATATTTTAAAGATCATTATCATATGCATTCTAAGTAGCCTAACCATTTACAATGATCTGAAACAATTTTGTTCAAGAATTTGAAGTTTCATTCTCTTCTGTTTTTTATAGTTATTCTCTATATTATGCTCCACCAGAAATCTTGTCCCATAATAAATATAATAAAGTAAAAAAAATAAAACAAAATGATTTTTTTATTATTCATTTAATCTAATTTTATTAAATATAAAGGCATGCGATATTTGGTCAATGGGTGTTATAACATATATTCTTTTATGTGGTTATCCACCATTTTATGCTGCTCATCGTGGTATGATTGGTACTCACAATATGAAATCAAAAATCAAAGCTGGCAAATATGAATTTCCAAAAGCTGAATGGAACAAGATTTCATCAGAAGCTAAATCAGTTGTACAAAAAATGCTAATAGTTGATCCATCTGCACGTGTTACTATCGATTGGATTCTTCAATGTCCATGGTTAGTTGGTACAGTACCTGAAACATCAATTGATATTAGTCCAATGTTTGATTTTGAAAATTATGAACAAACGCGAGTATGTAAAAAAATTTTTTTTTTAAATTTTCGTATTTAATTCTTCTTTTTTATTCATTGATTTTAGATTGAAAGTAAGTTGGTTTGAATTAATTTTTATCTTTTTTTTTTTTTATTTGATTTTTATTATTCATCTATAGTTGTCGCTGCAAATGATGCTCAACGTCGTCTAGTTGATGATGATGATGATGATTCAAATATAAATATTTCTACATATGAGAGCTCACGTGTACTAAAACGAGCTGCTAAACGAGAACAAAAACGTGCTACTGAAAATGGCGATCCACCATTATCACAAATTGACGAACGGGAAACAATTGCTTTTTTTTAAATACATAATAATTTTATTTTTCTTACCGATGCTCTTATTAAATAAGACTTTTTTTGTCGTGAAATTTGTAATGAAACTATTTCATATGACTCACTTCTCTTTTCGTCTATTCATTGTGTTTATTGGATCAAACAATGCATGCGTTTTCGTTGAAATTATTTGAGATATGAACTAATTTGTATTTTTCTTGCTTATACAGAGTTCTATGTTTTAGCAAAAATAAGTTTAAATACGTATATATTTAAATAGAGCACAGTTCAGAAATCATATGATCGGCTAGAGGATACTAAAAATGTCCGGATCGACGGAAAATACTGAAGTAGAAAACGTAGAAGATAAAAACAACGAAAAGAAAAACGTTGAAAGGAAGAAGTAGATGAAAGCTAAATATCGAGAAAAGGTATCACCGTGGTTGCGTGGGTACGAGAGTGTATGTGAGGTCCGGATGTGAGTGTGCGTATGAGGGAAGGTATGTGAATAAAGAAGAGATCTATACTCATACCCACATCTTCAACGTTTTTCTTTTCTGCATTTTCCATCAAACTCAAAATATCCCTTTCGATCGCATAGGAGTAAGACTGGCTCATCATGTGATCATTATATAGTAGACTGCCCATAGTGATTCTCGAAAATATTGTACAGTTACGGTGTTCAAATTTTACTATAATCTTTCCTTCTGGCTTCTGTTTCGTTTGCAAAACGTTCCTCTGGTCATCGTATTGCAGAAAGAAATTTTAAAAAAAGCTAGTTTTACGTGTTTTTATTCCAATTAGACTTGCAATGAAAAAAAATAGAATCTTTAGTTATTTTATTAGATTATTTCTGTGTTAATGACAAAGAATCACTATCAAAATGAACATGTAAACAATGCACCTTATATTTCCCTATTGCAATGGATATGAAAAAACACATGACAAGCTTCGCAAATGGAATATCTATTTAGACCGGCCGTTATAAGTAGTGTAGTATTGCTATCACTGTCCTATATTGATTAACTAGCGAGAACCCGTGCATACTGCACGACTGGTTTCTCCTTTAACGTACGACTTCAGACGTTTAACTTTTCATCCGATAACAGACATACAGATACGCGATATTATGTATATTGATCGAAGCCTTACGGCCTCGTACTCTTCTTTCGCACAGATTTTTATATTCCATGCAGCCTTATGTCCTTATAGCCTTAGATTCCTTGTACCACTTGTAGCCTTATCCCTTTAGTGTCTTGCATTCTTCAGTGCCTATGGATATCCTATAGAGCGGCCCTTGAGGGTCCATGGGTGCCTTCGTATAATAGCTCTTGAGGATCCATGGGTATTCCTATATAATAGCCCTTGAGGACCTATGGGTACCTCCATATAATAGTGCTTGGCCCCTTCCTCTTATAGCCTTATTTGACCATTAACCCTTGACCATTGACCCGGCATAGAGAAATACACACACTGAACATTATATACATACTAAAGGCCCCTGTGAAGGGTTGGACTCAAGGAGGGAAAAGCGGGACTCCTGGAGTGCGTACCCCCACTGTACTACCCTGTTCTTCCCTGTACTTCCACTGTACTCCCCTGTACTTCCACGATACTTTCACTGTACTTCCACTGTACTCCCCTATACTCCCTGTACCTCCACTGTACTCCCCCTGTACTTCTACTGGGTGTGGGTGGGTGTGGGTGGGGTGTGGGTGTGGGCGGGTGTGGGTGGGGGGGGGGTGGGTACGTGTAGGACTAAAGGTAACCATGAAACCTACCCCCACCCCCACC